GAAGGTGTGAAGATGAGAAGGTGTGAAGATGAGAAGATGAGATACAGACCCCCACTATTGGAAGAACCCTGCGCTCAGACGCTCTCGGGAATTAATATATTTTTTCTTTATTTGGATGATTCTGGATGGATGCATTTGCTCTTTCTGATTCCTCGGTGACACACCGTCCCCATTTTTCCACTTTGTTGTGCCAGGATGCTGAAGCTCAAGATGCCGTTGGGGGCTGTGTTTGATTTGGATGTTGGACTCAATGTCTTTCAAAGTTGCTCTGACATATTGCCTCTGTTTTCCATTTTCTTGCTTTCTTGCCCTCTATACAAATATCATATCACAGGTTTGTCAGAGGTTTGTCCCTGTTCTCAACTCACAAGGCACCAAAAGACGAACATCAGGCACTTGCTGATACAGGCACAAGACAGGAATGCATCACACATTTAGACACACATGCACAATCATGCACATATTGCTGTTCTCCTGTGGCCGTCCCAATATATAGACTAATGAAAAGTTCGATGCTGAAGATCTGCAGTTTCCTCCCAAGATGTGCATTCCTATGAGGATTTACAGTGTTTCCTCCGTTCATCTCCGTTCCATTTATTGCCATATGCTCTGTTTATTCTCTGTTTCATTTTCAGTTTTTTTCTTGGGTTTTACATTCTCATATTAAAATTCACAGTTGTTGAAGCTCGTTGGCAAAGGTAAAACTTGTCGTTTTGACTATGTTTTGACTCATTTCCAGGGTTGGTTCGTTGGTTCAGTGGGCGAGTTGCTTCGAGTTGGTTCGAGTTGGTTCCTGTTACGGAGGGCCTCAGATCCTGAAGCGGCTCAGCTCCCTGGAGCACAAGGCCAGACTCTCAACGATCTCAACGTGCAAAAAATCTCCGTCGATGCGGCGAAAATCACCAGCAGATTTATGATGTTTATAGATTTTCACGAGATTTATGGAGATTTATGATTTATGGCGATAATGATTCATCATTATTTGCATAGATGAGACATAAATTGTGTGTAAAGTAATTGCCGATCTGGCAACACAATTGTCAGTCTGCAAGTTATCCGTGTAGCCCCTTCTTCTTTAGGTTGACACTTTGGACACGGCTCAAAAGTCCCTTGAAGACAGACTGGACAAAGTGCCTTCAAGCACTGCCCCGAGCTCAGCATAGCTCAGATGGCTCAGCGCAGAAGCGACCAGGCATAACCAGACACAGGCGTTGCGTCGTTGGCGTCTTTTGTCGAATGTCTAAACGAGCTTTGCCAGGTTCAGGATGGTCCTGGCACCTCTCCTCCGGGGAAAGATGAAGGCTTTCGCTGGATTTGCGTGTATATTTATATACATAATATATATATATATATTGATTGACCCATGTAACGCTTATAACGTGAAAATCATATTCTGGGTTCCTGGGCGCTATTTCTGGGTTCCTGGGCACTAATTCTATGTTCTTTCATGGTTCTGGAACTAAAGTGCTGTGGAAATAGAATTTGACTTTTGCAATGTCCAAGTTTGGGTTCCTTTGACCATAAGGGGTTCGGCTATCAGATTCTTAACCCAGAACCGCCCAGGATTGCCCAGGACTTCCCAGGACTACCCAGACACTGCCCAGGTACTACCCAGGAATCCTGGAACAGTTGTGCTAAGCATTGCAGAATTATAATGCTTATCGTAAGTGTCACCGAAACGGTTTGGCGTCTATAATGCTTGGCGCAACTGTCAGGTCGATTCCTGGGTAGTACCTGGGTACTAACTTCTGCCAGGATGTACTTCAACACTACCCACGAATCATCTCCAAGTTGTGACATGCATTAGACCGCGCTAGTGAGCTATCCCAAGCACCAGATGTTCTAGTTTTTGAGCGGTCAAGCCCCCACTTTCTTGATTTCCAGCCCCTGACCGTGCCAGCCTCGGTGCCGCGCACCGTGCCCCAGTTTTTTCCCGCGTTATAAGCATTACGTGGGATAATCAATATATATATATAATATATACATATACATACATAAATCCATCCATATCTATCAAAAAGTCAGAAACGAACCTCAAATCCTTCCGGGCCTCATTTTCACAACTACGTTACACTCGTTGTGACTGAACACGTGCAAATCGTGATTTGTTTCTGGCTGTTGCTGGCTGTTACTTGCCGAAGCCGATGTGTTTGGCAAATTGTCAGGTTACTCCGAAGCCCAGCAAGTCCTTGAGAAAATCAGCAGCTTGGAGAAGCAGGCGCTACAGCATGCTACAGGAGGAGGGGGGGACTGTGAACTTGGCATTGGATCAGTTGGATCAGTTGGATCAGCGCCATGACATGGAGGTGGAAGGGTTAGCCTCGCGGGTGCCAAAGGAGGTACGTGCTGAAACTGTGCAGTGTATCAGTGTATCCATCCGAATCCAAATCCGTCAGAACGACAATGTGTCAGAATCCGTCAGAATGTCACAGGATGCATCCGTATGGCCTAAAAAGCTGCTCCGAACGATGGTGCAGGTGGAAGTGGCAACCATCGTGGACAATGAACTGACGCCAGACGTCGGAGACACCGGAGACGCCGGAGACGCCGGAGATGCGGCAAACGCCAGGGATGCTGAGGAAACTACGAAGGGGAAACCAGCGCCAGGTGCGCTGCTGTCCCCAGATCTCTCGCGTGGAAAGACTTATCAAATGTTATCATATGTTTTCAAATGAATAGCTTAGCTAGATTTATATAACTTGCCTGCTTTGATACTGCATTTAGCATTTGATGCTGCACATCCTGGTGTCCTGCTTTTGGGCAATTGCCTCTTGACTTGTTTGTTCCCAATGGATCCCATCGCAAAAGGTGCTGAAGACAGTGAGGCTTCATCCTGAGTACGATTACTGAGAGCCAGCAAGGTGCACCACAGTTGACAGCATCGTTCTGGAAGAGAGAAAAACACGAGCGTTTGGACAGCCCTTTTAACCCAAGAAGTTTTCAGAGATCTTTTATTATCGTCATTATTTTTGCTATTTTTTCTCTTATTTTCTCAGTGTTCAACTTGTGCATCTTCTTGTAGAAATCGAGAAAGCGACGATGCGACGAGTCTGTGGGTCATGGAATGTCTGAGGCTGACACACTGAGAAAGCTCCAGGAAGAGGCTCCATGGCGTATTACTGTGATAAGAAGCATGAGACAAACCGAGTTGGCCTGGAGGCATGCCATTTTTGTGCAATTTATGTATATATGCATGTTAGATAATCTTTTGCAATTTTAGTACATTTGTTCATTTGTTCACGATGTTTGCTTCTGTGTGTTTTCATATGTCAAGAGGTCTGTTAACAGTTAACTGTTAACATTCATTTGCATGCTATCAAGAAACAAAACCGTCGGTCCGACCAGTTCCTCGCCCACAGCTGACATCTTACGTCAGGTCCGACAGCTCTCAGCAGCCGTAGACACTCTCCGACAGGTGCCTCGCTTTTTATTCTTTTCGGCACAACAAGTTGCATCAAGATGCCAAGATTGGAGCCTTCAGAGCATTCTAAGCATTCCAGGTTCGAAGTTGACAGGTCACTGCAGCTCTTGACAGCCTCAAAATCTGACACAAATAGCGAAATTGTTAAAGCTTCCACGGCTACCCGTTTCCGCTGGTCTCCACCATGAGCGGATATGGCGAGCCCAAGACATGTGGCAAATGCTGCGAAAGCGGATTCGGAACTCCTCTGGAAGCGATGAAGGGCGAGAGGGAGAAGTTGACCCTCGGAAATTGTTTGATTTGCAAAAACAAAATTCTGCAAACAGACGTTTCCAACGTAAAATAATGCAAACTTGTTGGATTTACAATAAAATCCAGAAGTGTCCTTGATTCCTTTGTCGACTCCCAAGAACTCCCCTTGAAACAGTCGGGCCCAGTGCAATCCAAGACTGTTTGCCTTTTTGAACCACTTAAAAAGCAGCACCAGCAAAGATATAATTCTTGTGCTGGACAAGCCTCTTGCGCCTTTTCCCTCTCCGCAAATTTTGCCCAGTTCCCACCGGCAAAGGATCTACATCCCGGCTGTGCAAATGGAGAAAAATGCAAAGCCAGACTACCTTGCGACCATCGATGTTGATCCAGACAGCCCAACCTACAGCCAGGCCAACAAGTCCATCATTTTGCATGAAACATCATGAAACAGGCTCTATCATAGTTCCATCCGGTTCATGCGTGCAAGATATTCCAAGATGTTTGGGATATAAAGTTGGGTCAAAGTCCGCTTAGGGACTTAGTAGCTCTGTGTATCTTTACTGTGCGGTGTGGAGAAGCATCAAGTCTTTATTGTCTTCATCAAGGGTTTTCCTTGAGGTGATTCATCGTTTACATATGGCACTCCCTGGAGATGAGCTTCATCATCTTGGCTGGAATCTCATCACAGTCTAAATCGTCCGAATCAAGAGAATCAGGAGAACTCAAACTCTGGGCCATCATCGTAGAGCCAAAGTTTCAGCTTAGACTGCAACACTTCATAACACGTCTCAGGTTTCGAAAGCGCTCTGAGAAAAGGTCCTAAAGATTGACGCAATGATTGAAACAATGTCTTTTGCAATGTTTCACAGAGTTTCCAGACATTTTCCGGTCATTTCCGGACATTTCCGGACACCGAGGAACGCATGCTCCAGCTGCCGTGGTCAGGTTGGTCGACCAACACATGGATACCTTGTCGCTCCCGGAGTTTTGTCTGGCGACATTCACATCATTGATGTGAAATCGGATCCCAAGGCAAACAAAAGACATGAAACGACATGAAACAGCACGAACGCCAAAAAATATTTGACAGATTCTTGGCAAGCAGCTATTTCAGGCTTTTCCAAACTTGGATCCCTGCATGAAATGGTATGTTTTAAAGAAAGGTCCGTTAAAGTCTATTGACAAATCATGGTAAATCTAGTGGGACGATTTCGCAGATTTCGCCATCTAGGCGCCCGCTCTCCACAAGACCATTGGAGCGAAGGATCTCTTGGACAAAGCGGGTGTGGCACTTCCGCACACAACACATTGTGCGCCAGATGAGATCATCATGTCTTTCATGGGCAGCGGCACTGCGAAGGATGGCTTCAAGCCCGAAGGAGCAGGCTTCGTGTCCTTTGATCCCAAGACATTTGAGATCAAGCAACGATGGGAAGGCCAGGACTCCAAGACACGCTTTGGATACGATTTCTGGTATCAACCACGCCACAATGTCATGGTCTCATCTGAATGGGGTGATCCAGACTGCTTCACCAAAGGCTTCAACCCTGCGCATGTCGGGGAGGGACGTTATGGTAGTAAGCTCTATGTGTGGGATTGGTCGGATCGAACCGTGAAGCAAGAGCTCGATGTGGGTGCGGGTTCCATTCCACTGGAAGTCTGTTTCTTGCACAATCCCGACAAGGCAGAAGGTTACACTGGCTGCGCACTGAGCTCTGAAATGGTCCGCTTCACCAAGACCAGTGATGGAAAATGGGAATCCAAGACCGTCATCAAAGTGGAACCCATTGAGGTGACTGGCTGGGCATTACCACACATGCCTGGACTCATTACGGACTTTGTGACGCCTGGTTGAGCTCAATATCTTTTTTCACCAGGGACCCGGTGTCACATATAGTAATTCATGACATACATATTACATATTACATATATATATATCTCTTTGCCTAGTTCAAATGTTGTTCAAGTGTGTTTTTTACATCTTCAATATTTTGAATGTGGAACGTGGTCGACAGGATTTCCATGGACGATCGCTTCTTGTACCTTTCCAACTGGCTTCATGGTGACGTTCGCCAGTACGATATCACTGAGGATGAACCCAAGTTGGTTGGCCAGTTCTTTGTTGGAGGCTCAACTATCCACCACACCCAGCACACCCTTCGCATTGTTCACTTGTTCCCTTCTGCAAATGAACATCGCACTTTTTACACTCAAGGAATTTCAGAGTCAGTGATGAAGAGGGCAGCATTAAGTTGTGACATTCGCTGAGCCCTCGGAGTCTCGCGCAGGTTCCATGAAGCAAAACGGTCCAGTAAAGCGAGCAGATGGAGGAGAGCAGCCCGAAGCGTTGGTGGTGAAAGGGGTCGAAATTCAAGGCGCTATCACAGGATATCACATGCCACTGCAGAGTGTCACTGAAAGTGTCACTGAAGAGTGTTGTTCAGAGGTCTTCCAAGCATTAAGCACAAATTTTGTAAACAGTTTGAACATAGTTTTCAGCCACATGGCTGACTGTGACTGATATCTGAATTTCAGGTGGAGCACAAATGGTGCAGCTGTCCCTCGACGGGAAGCGCTTGTATGTGTCCACCTCGCTCTTCTCATCATGGGACAAACAATTTTACCCTGACATGGGGAAGTATGGGGCGCAGCTGATCCAGCTGGATGTCGATACAGAGACTCCTGGCTGCATCTGGCTACCAAAAACATCCAAAATCTATTGAAAATATTGAGCCTGGGAATACAATTGATATAGTTGACCCAGCTTTGCAACTCAGCAGTACCCAACAATACCCAACAGCAGGTTCCAGAGTTCCAGGGTTCTGTTCCGGTTTTCAGGGCCGACAAGAAACGGCGCACGACTCCCAGACCCGGATATTGAAACCCAACAGTCGATAAAAGAATACACACACTATTAACCCAGCTTTGCAATGTTATCAGGCAAGGTTCCAAGGTTTTGCACGGTTCCAAGATTCCACAGTTGCAGGTTTCCAGGATTGCAAGGAGCGAGGTTCCAGCAAGGTTCCAGCGAGGTTCTAGCAAGGTTCCAGCAGTGTTCCGGCTTTCCGGAGCATGCATTAACCCAGCTTTGCAACCCAACAGCATACCTGAATCTTCCACCTACGTCTTTTTTCAGACCCTGTGCCAAAGTCCTGTTTTTTCAGTACCCAGAAAACTTTTCAGGACCTACTCTCAAATTCAGGACCTGGCCATTTTGGGGTGGGGCATCAATGGTAATGGCAATCATTGGGTGCAAACATGTGAAACCAACATTTGGTGGATATTCAAGCCATTGGCATTGATCCACGCAAATAAAAGCACTCCCAGCCCAAACTCATGGCAAGGCAGGATCAGAATATAGTATATTCCAGAAAGTATGTCAGAATAGATGCCAGATAGGATGCCAGAAAGAATGTCAAATAGAATCTCAGAAAAGAATGTAAGATAGTATGTCAGAACATATATGCCACATATACGTCCAGATGATATGTCAGAAACTATGTCAGAATAGTGTGTCAGGGTGGGGATCACTCTTAGTAAGGCAATTTTGAAAATATATTTCAGGTTCGGAATTTTCAAACTGTTGTCCTTCAGGCGCCGAAGCTCCCGTTGAAGGTCAGCATCGCCCCATGTCAACTGGTCCAGTCCCACTTCCATTTCAACAAGTCCAACTTCATCGATTAGGGTGTTGGTTGAATGGACTTGGGACTCTAGCTGGCACGGCATCCCTTGTAACCCTGTAGACACTGTAGTGGGCAAAAAGATTGTAACACACAGAATCAGCATCATTTTGATCAGGCATTCTTTTTGCTAATCCTTTCTCCCTATTACGAAAAATACCCCCAAATGACAAAAACTAGGTGCGATTTCCAATTTTGGGAAATGTCAAATTGGTTAATCTGATTTTTAATTGATCCCCTTGAGGAAACAATTTTAAAAATGAAGGTACCATGTGAGGGTTTCACCCCCAAAGAATAAAAAACTAGTCAACACCGGGGTGTCTTTTATTGGGGTCCGTCCTTTAAAATCGTCAATTTTAGTTTTTTTAATTCAGGTGTTGGTGTTTTATTTGATACTAGGCGAAAGCTTCGAAATCCTATTCTTGGCAGTATTCTATTTAAAGATTATTTTCATGGATTTTGAAATTAGAAACAAAAAACGGTTTAATCCCTTCCCCCTGTTGCTAAACAGTCGCCCCTTCACCCCCCCACCCAAATAACAAACACCTGGAGGAGTTTTTAGTATTGGGGGGGTCTTTAGTATTAGGGTACGAAGCTTCCCCCTAATACTGATAAAAAACACACACATATATATATATATACACATATTTCTATTTCAAAATCGATCAGATTTCTTTCTTTTTAAATCCAATTAAAATATGGCAAACAAGTGGATTCCGAAGCTTAATATCAAATAAAAACCCCCAACATAAAAAACTATGTATGTTTTTCTATTTCGAAATCGATTAGATTTCCTTTTAAAAATTAAATAAAATATGGCCAAAAAATTGGATGTCGAAGCTTTTCCCTTATATTAAACCCTAATATCATTTTGTTTTTTTTCCTGTTTCAAAATCGATTAGATTTCCTTTTGAAATCTAATGAAAAAAAACAAAAAAATGATTTTGAAGCTTTCCCCTAATATCAAATTAAAATCCAATTATTAAAATATGTTCAAAAATTGGATTTCGATGCTTCCCCTAATCTTGCATGAAAAATTCCAATATAAAAAACTAAATTTGTTCTATTTCAGAATCGATTAGATTTCCTTGTAAATTCAAATTAAGATATTGCCAGAAATTGGATTTCGAAGCTTTCCCCTCATATTAAACCCTCATATCAAAGACTATTTTTTCTATATCAAAATTCATTAGATTTCCTTTTGAAATCTAATTAGAATATGGTCAAAAATTGGATTTTGAAGTTTTCCCCTAATATTACATAAAAAAACCCTAATATAAAATATTATTTTTTCTTTTTTGAAATCGATTCGATTTCCTTTTAAATTGTAGTAACAAAAATAAAAACAAAAACAGGATTTCGAAATGTTTCCTCTAATATTAAATTACCAGCCCTAATATATTTTTAAAAAAACTGTTTCAAAATCGATTAGTTTTCTGTTTAACATATAATTAAGATATTGCTAAAAATTGGATTTCGAAGTTTTCCCCTAATATTAAATTAAAAACACTAATAAAAAAAACTATGTTTTTCGATTTCAAGAATCGATTAGATTTCCTTTTGACATCCAGCAAAAATATTGCCAGGAAATGCCAAAAAGTGGATTTCGAAGTTTTCCCCCAATATTATATAAACGTTGTAATATAAAATACTTATTTTTTCGACCTTAAAAGACCCTAGTTTAAAAAATCACCGGGGCTGACTAGTTTTTATTTTTTGGTGGTGAAATCCTGAAATGGGACCTTCATGTTTAATTTGTTTTTGAAAAGGTATCAATTAAAAGTCAAACTGGCCAGCCTGAAATTTCCCAAAATTTAACGCGGACCCTAGTAAAAGGAATCAATGTAATATTTTAGTATTTAGGGTACGTTTAGTAAAAGGAGGTGGGGATTAGTAAGGTTTTCAATTTAATATAAGGGGAAGCTTCGAAATCCAATTTGGCAAGATTTGAGTTAGATTTTGAATCGGAATTCAATCGGTTTTGAAATATAAAGTTCATTTTTTAAAACGAATGATTTCAATTTAATGTCAGGGGGAAGCTTCGGAATCCAATTTTGGCAATATTTTAGTTAGATGTTATTTAAAAAATGTTTTCCAATTTAGATTTTTTTAACCAAGGGGGAAGTTTCGCACCCTCATACTAAATACCCACTAAATACAAAAAACTATTCCGTGTGTTCATTATTGGGTGGGGAGGGGCAGACGGTTTATTATGACGCAGGGATTGGTCAGGCATCACTTGCTGGAATTATTGGATTCTTTTGGGATGATTGGTATGATGTTTAGTCAGGCATGGTTCCCTTCAGTCATGCACGATTTTTGCAAAAATCCTATTTAGGCACGACCCCAAAATCCCAGCCCGGCAAATTCCGGCCCGGCCCGGCAAATTCCGGCCCGCGCCCTGCAAATTCCGGCCCTGCGTTTTTCCAAAATCAGGCAAAACCAGTAAATCAGGTATTAAGTCAGGTGTAGTTACCTTTTAAGTCATTAAGGCTAGTCAGGCATGGTTCCAGTGGGTACCTTTTAATTGTGAAGGCTAGTCAGGCATGGTTCCCTGAATTCAGGGCATGGGTACCTTTTAATCATGAAGGCTAGTCAGGCATGGGTTCTGTTAAGTCAGGCGTGGGTGGGTACCTCTTAATTATGAAGGCTAGTCAGGCATGGTTCCCTTAAGTCGGGTGTGGTTACGCTTTAAGTCATGAAGGCTAGTCAGGCATGGGTACCTTTTAAGTGATGAAATCTGAATCAGGCGGAGCTCCTATTCTAAATGTGTTTGATCCAATTGTTCAGTGTGGAAAATCGATTTTTTGGCTGGTCTACGGGCAAACCCTGTGTCTTCCAATACCATAGCGTGCTGATGTCGCTTGCCTGCATAATAGTTAAGGCCAAAGCTTAGGTCATCAGTGTGATCCTGAAATGGCGCCACGACCAAGAAGATGACATGTGTAAAATGGGCCCTGGATTAACAAAGGCTGACTAATGAATTTGGAGGATGCCACTAAAGTATGACATGTAATCACTTTTGAGGAGCACTCTATGGCACGCAGCCTGCTTTACGGTTTAGCGTTTGAAAGTTTTAGGCTTTGCCTCTATGGCACGCAGCGTTTGAAAGTTTAACCGTTTACCTCTATGGCAGGCTGTGCGCGCAGTACGCGTTACGGTTTAAAGTTTGAAAGTTTTCGGGTTTATGTGTGTGGCACGCAGTGCGCGCAGCGCGCATTAGGGTTTAGGGTTTGGAAGTTTTATAGTTTATTTTATTGCATGCAGCGTGCACAGCGTGGGTTGAACTTTAGGGTTTCGAAGTTTTAGGGTTAACCTCCATGACACGATGGTTTAGGGTTTGGAGATTTTAAGGGGTACTTCTATGGCACACAGCGCGCGCAGCGCGCGTTAGGGTTTAGGGTTTAGGGTTTAGGGTTTGGAAATTTTAGGGTTTACCTCTATGACACGAGAGTTTCAGGTTTGAAGATTTTAGGGTTTATTTCTATTGCACAAAGCGCGCGCAGCGCGCACTAGTGTTTAGGGTTTGAAGGTTTTAGGGTTTATCTCTGGCACGCAGCGCGCACAGCACGCATTAGGGTTTAGGGTTTGGAAGTTTTAGGGTTTATTTTATTGCATGCAGCGCGCACACCGCGGGTTAAACTTTAGGGTTTGGAAGTTGCATAACACGATGGTTTAGGGTTTGGAAATTTTAGGGTTTACTTCTCTGGGACACAGCGCGCGCACCGCGCATTAGGGTTTAGGGTTTGGAAGTTTTAGGGTTTTCTTTATTGCATGCAGCGCGCGCAGCGCGCATAGAGTTTAGGGTTTGGAAGTTTTAGGGTTTCAAGGGTTCCAAGGTTCCAGGGTACCAGGGTCCCACGGTTTCAGGGTTCCAAGGTTTCCAGGGTTCCAAGGGTTCCAAGGGTTCCAAGGGTTCCAAGGGTTCCAAGGGTTCCAGGGTTTCAGGGTTCCAGGATCCCAGCAGGGTGCCAGGTGTGCAGGGTTGCAGGGTTCCAAGGTTCCAGGGTTCCAAGGTAGCAGGGTTCCAGAATTCTTGAGGG